TTTTATTTTTTCTCAGAAATGATATTTTTTTATTTTACTTATTATATATTATTTATTTATACTTTAAATAAATTAATTAATTATACAAATTCAAATTACGTATAAATTAATTAATTAATTAATTTTATGAACCATTAATTACATCTATGAACTTATAATTATGTGTCTAATAGATCTTTATTTTGTCTTCAATTTCATTTCGTGCCATGTTAACTATATTAATGGCAACTTAATGAGACAAGTTTAAGGTTCAGAGAATTGGTCAAATTCCTAAAAAGAAAAAAAAAAAACCAAAACCAACTCCATTAATATAATCAATTGTGCAACATTAAGTTAACAAAGTTAAAGAACATGAACATACTAAGCACAAAATTAAAAATTTAGATTATGTCAAAACAAAAAAAAAAACTTACCAACTAAATCAATACAATTTTACATGTTTAGAGATTAAATTTAGAATTTAACTTCTTATTAATAATATTTTTCTTAGTAAGTACTCCATGCTAAATTTAAGACAAGTTAATATAAATCATGATTCATGATGCTCATTCTAAAGTAGGTGGTCATCGAGATGCAAGAACTTAAATCATCAGGACAAGTGAAAGAATTTCATAGAGATTAAAAAAATAATTCAAACTTCGGTCATATGACCATGTACTTAAATATTAAAAATTCTAGCAATCTATTTGATTTATTTCAAGAACATCCAAAATATGTTGACACAATAGAATTAGCATAATAGCCATATACTAATTTATTACTATTCTACGTAATATTTTCAACAGAGGTGTATAATGCCTTGACCAGGTCAACTCAGCAATACTGTTTAATTAACAAGAAACAATAAAACAATAAATTTGATACTATAGAAATAATTAGAATCAATAAGTACTAAATATTGAAATACCACCAAATCTATGATTCACTAACTATACAAAGAATGTATGTTCTGAAGAACTTTCCTGGAAAATAAAGAGGAACCAAAAATGCAAATGCTCTAAACAAAAAGGGACAGAATCACCGAAATTTCGAAAATAAAATTGCATTCAGAAAAGCGAGAGACCGACGTTTAATAATTAATAGCACGCCATAAAATTTTAAATATAAATATATATATTATTTAATTAAATAATTTTTGGGCCTCGGAAAAAATAATTTATGGATTCGTATTCGGATTCCACAGACTACTAAAACGGGATTTGAAATACCGCAACACGTCCGGCACCACAATCGTCGCCAAACCCTTCTGATGGTCGGCGGCGGCGGCGGTGCTCACGTCCTCCGCTGCACCGCTCTCCCCATCCTCCGCCGCCAGGCTTCCTTCGCCTCCGTCGTCGCGCTCCGGCGAAGGCGGAAGGACGGCGGAGCACTGGTCGGGCTCCAGCGGCGGACATTGAACTACTGGAACGGACTTGTCGATGGCTTGATTGCGGATTCTGTGTCGCCGCTTGGCTCGGGCGGCGTTGTTCTTCGGCTTCTCGGCGATCGGCAAGTGATCTTCGAAGGCGTCAATGGCGTGGTGGATGAGGTCGCGATTGGGAGAGGAGTCCCAGCGGCACCAGTAGGCGGTGTAGCAGTAGAAGCAATCGCAAGAGAACATCGGAGTTTTGTGGTTGCCGGAAGTAATGGTAGCGATTCCGCCATTGATTGAAGCTTTTCTGGCGGATTTCTTCCTGGAATCGCGAGTGGAAGCGAATGCGGAGGATTGGATGGACCTGGCAATCATGTAAGCCAAAACTTCGCGTTCCTCGAGGGAGAGGACGGAGATTAGGGCCAAAATAGCGGCCGGAAGTAGCTTGAAGACGGAGGAGGAAGACGATGGCGACGGTGACGGGTGTACTTTGCCTTTCCGCTTAATCTCCATTGGAGGAACGATGGAAGAATGAGGAGAAAATGAAGGGAGCGATTTCGACTGTGTTCTTCTTCGCCGCTTAAAAACACAATTTTCTTTATTATTATTTTATTTTATTTTATTTTGGTAGAAACTTTTTACTCAAGGAGAGGGGACTCACACGATTGGAGAGAGAAATATTCGTGCGATTCATTTTTTTTTTCTTCTTTTTATTAGTAACTTGTGTAAAAGTAATTTTTAGGTTTTATTTGCCAAAGACAAATTAAAATCACCCTTTTTCTTTTCTTTTGTACGGGTTCCTTAGAAACAATGTGAAATTTTCAGCCAAATTTCAAAATAATAATAATAATGAAATTTCAAAAACTATATATTAAAACAAAAGAAATAGGTACTAAAATTAGGATTTTTAATAATAAAAATCTGATTAGACGAATCTAAACAGTCCAATTTCGTAATTATAAAAAATTTTGTATTTATTTTATTTTGATCTATTATTTTTCTAATGACTTGTGTAAAAAGTAATGTTGAGATTTATTTTTTATTTTTGGTATCTAAATGTTTATTTTGACTCTGTTTTGACCAATTGTTTTTCAGATATTTTCTTTTGGTTTCCAAATTTTGCATCTGTTAGTTAATTCTTTTACTGATTATCTAATAAAAATTAAACTCTGTTTTGAAACCAATACCCCTTGACCCACCTATATATGTCTCTATTTATTTATTTAAAGGAGAAATAGACCTCTCACATTGTCTTTCGTTCCAAGGTCTAGAATAAAGGAGAGAGGGAGACGCCATCATCCTGTTGTCCACAAAAGGTTAACTAACGTTCAAATTACTATTTTCAAATTTCAATAAGCAAAATTATTCATTTTATAACTTGAGGGCCAAATAGACACCTAATTCCAATCTTAGTGTGCATTTTAAAATTTCAAGAAACAAAGGGATATTTACTCCAAATTTCATAGTCAAACTGTGTATTTTTTTTTCCCTAATGAAAATAGAATTTATGCCTAATTTTTTCAACAAGGATGTGAAAATAAAAATTTGAATTGTATTTTCAAATATTACCAAAAAATGTACTATTTTTAGACTGGTATTCGGTATTGGACTGAGTTTCAAAATTTCCTTGCATGATGAAATATCTCCCGCATATTTTCTATACTATAGATTTATAGGTTGGAAAATTACACAATTTTAATTTTATTATTTTATTTTTTTTATTTTTTTGTCAATATTAAGTATAAATTTTTTTTTGAGTTAAAAAGGCTTTCATTAAAAAAATTTAACTTGTCATAAAGGCCATAGGAGTGAGACCATCAGCTTTCACACGGCTAAGAAGCCAAACAGGAAAATCATAAAGCCAAAGAAAGGGTCTACTTATAGAAATAGAATTTCTAGCCAGAATATGAGCAGCCATATTTCCCTTGCGACGAACATGCTGAATTCGAAAATCCTCAAAATTTGCACACAAGCGTCTGATGTCAACAATCCATGAAGCCACTTCATTTAAGCACCCCTCATCATTCTCTATTAGTTTAACCGCTTCGAGGGAGTCAGATTCGACCACCACCTTACTGAAACCCATCCGGATCGCCGAACGAATTCCTTCTCTGATAGCAAGGATTTCTGCCATTAGGGGGCTTCCCAAACCCTGGGTAGAAATCATCGCTGCTTGTACCCGATTTTCATCATCACGGATTAAAATCCCTATTCCGGACTTTCCAACAGAGGTGGTACACGCTGCATCAGTATTGATTTTTAAAAACCCTTTTGGAGGGGGACACCAGACGGCGGGATTGCAGGAGGGGGCCACTTGCATCTCCAAGGTCGATTTATTTTTATTCAGAAATGCATTAGCATAATCTAAAGTCCATATTCATTTGAAATGAATATCAGGTGTACCCTTTTTGAAAATGTGTGAATTTCGATCCTTCCACAAGGCCCAGCTAGTAATTCCGGCGAGGGTGACTTCTTTTTGCGAAAGATCTGACATCACCTTAGTCCACCGGTCGACAAAACAACTGTTAAAATTATTGGAAGAATCTAATGCTGGCAGAAGCAAGGATCAGATTTTGGACGCCCTTTTACAACCCACAAGAGCGTGATCCACCGTCTCCTCCTTTTTCAGGCAAATCGGACACACATGTAACACCTCCATACCTCTTCCCCTCAAATTTGACATTACTGGGATACAATTTATGATTGCTTTCCAAAGAAAGATTTAATTTTTGGGGGAAGGTCCATTTTCCAAAAATCCTTCCACCACCTCTCATTTTTGTCTGAGGGAAAGTAGATTCAATCTCATAACTAACTTGTACCCACCTCTTACTGTATAGGAGTCATTCTTCGTAAAATGCCACATCCATCTATCTGAACCCCAACAGCACTAATCGGAATATTAGATATGGTAGCCACATCTTCTTCTCCAACTATTGACCTGAGCTTTTGGACGTCCCAATTTCGAGAGGAAGTAACAAAATCAGCTACCCAAAAAATTATGGACAGATCAAGACAAGGACTTAAAGGCCTGAAAGTGGTCTCTCGCGGAATCCACGGATCTTTGAAAAAATTAATTGAAGACCCATCTCCAACCACTTCCCATAAGCAGCAAATCACGACACCAAACCATCCCTTGCCAAAAGTAGGATGAGTGGTAGTCCGCCTTTGCTGTCAGAATAGAATCCTCACATGCATACACCCCTCTAATAACCCTGGAAACAAGAAGATTAGGCAGTTGAAGAAACCTCTACAATTGTTTTGCCAATAAGATCTTGTTAAACATCACGAGATCTCAAAAATTTAGACCTCCTAACTCCTTCGGCCAACACATACGGTCCCAACTCATCCAATGGATTCTCCTTCTAGCATCATTTGTACCCCACTAAAACTTAGCCAAGTCCCTCGAAATATCTGAACAAAACATCTTTGGGAGACGAAAACAACTCATGACATAAGTCAGGATAGCTTAGGCGACACTCTTAATCAAGATCTCTTTTCCTCTGCCTGAGAAAATTTTTCCTTTTCACCCTTGGACAGCTCTCCACACTCTCTCCTTTATAAAATCAAAATCTCCACGTTTATTTCGAGAGAGACTTGAAGGGAAGCCCAAGGTAATCTCCCAAATTTGGGACCAACCTCATTCCCACCACCGATTGAAAGTAATTACGGAAATCATCATGCACGTTGGGAGATAACCAAATCATGGACTTATCAAAATTAATTTTTTGTCCAGAAGCTTTCTCATAGTCCAGCAAAAGTAATTTAATCGCATACAATTTTGATATTTTAGCCTTACAAAATACTAGGCTATCATCTGCAAAGAGAAGATGAGAGATACTTGGACAATTTGAGTTAATCGACATACCTGAAACTCAATTGTTCTCATGGGCATGTTTAATGGATGCTAAGAGGCCTTCTGCACAAATAGATAAGGGGACAAAGGATCCCCTTGGTGTAAGCCCCTATGAGGGATGATATGCTCTTTTGCTTCCCCATTAATCATGATGGCAAAGGATGAAGTACTAATGCAATCCATAATGATCTCAATCCAGTCCTCATTGAAACCCATCTTCAGCATCATTTGCTTTAAAAAGACCCATTCCACCCGATCGTATGCCTTACTCATATCAAGCTTTAGCGCCGCCAAACCTTCCCTTCATTTCCTCCTCTTCTTCATGGCATGGATACATTCATGACCAATAATAATGTTATCATTAATGACCCTACCAGAGATGAAGGTTGCCTGGCAATCTGATACAATTTTGTCAAGAACTAGCTTTAAAATTTGCTAACACCTTCATTACAATTTTGTACAAGACATTACAGAGGCTTATAGGATGGAACTCTGAAACCACTCCCGGCTCCCGCACCTTTGGAATCAAGGTAATCGATTTCCTCCTATTCAACACCTCTAGAAAACAGCCCACCATTTTATCTCCAATAAGTCCCCAATATTTTTGGTAGAAAAGAGCTGGAAAACCATCCGTACCCGGCGCCTTTGTGGGATACATTTACTTCAAATCTCGTTCAATATCAGACCTGGTAAATGGAGCAATGAGCTTTTCGTTCATCTCCCCCGTTACTGAGCAAGGTATATACTGTAACACTTTAGCCATGTCATCATGTGAGGGATTTGAAGTTAAACAACTCCTTAAAATAACTAATAAACTGATACTCAATCAACTGTGGCTCCTCCGTCCAGACTCCCTCAACCTCGATGCCTCTGATCGAATTCCTCTTTTTCCTTATTGTAGCTTTCTTGTGAAACCATTTCGAATTTCTATCCCCCCACTTCAACCAGTCTTCACGAGACCTCTGCTTCCAATAAATTTCATCAGATTCAAGAAGGTCGTCAAGCTCCCTATCCAAGCTATGAATGGCTGCAAAATCCCAAGGAGGAGGTTCGTTATATATATGGGCAATTTTCAACCAGATTTTCTTTATTTGCCTTTTGAAACCTCTATTAAAGTCTCTGCCCCATTTCCCCAGTGCAGTTGCACAGCTAGCTAAACAAGATTCAAGCTTTGCAGAAGGAATGGAAGAGTCTCAATCTCCATTTGCACCAATAATTTCTTCACACCTTCTTGATTTTGTCCAAACTTCCTCAAACCTGAAGAGAGACCTCCGTTTGTGAATTTTTCTGGTTATCCCTCCCAAAGTTAGAAGAATTGGACGATGGTCCGATTTTGACCAGTCCTCATGGGTTACATACGACTCCCTCCACAAACAGCAAAACTTTTCATTCCCCAGGAAGCGGTCCAACCTTTCGCTGATTTGGTCACTATTCTAAATTCTATTGCACCAAGTGTATCTTTGCCCCAAGAAACCAAGATCCTACAAGCAACAATCGTCCACAGTGTCTCTGAACCTTTCAATTGCTGAATAGTTTCTGTCATAACCTCCACACTTCTCACTATCATACAAAATCTCATTGAGATCTCCCCCTACCAGCCAAGTGTTATTAGACCGCATATTAAGTCTCCGAATGAGGTCTCATGTGCAATATCGTCTATATGCCTTTGGGTCACCATAGACTCTCGAAAACTAAAAAGATTTTGTCTGCCAGACCACCCATGCATCAATATGGAACCTTGAGAAAGATAGAATTGAAATGTTCACCTCCTGGCTCCAAAGCAAACATAAACTGC